AATGAATGCTTCACTTTTGTCAACAAACTTTTACTCAATTTAGTTTGAAAATTTTCTTTATCCTAGGTAAAGTTCTGATTTTTCTTATTTTCTTGCTTGAATTGTATGCATGTGACACTTATGAAATGTGCATGTTCAATGGTTTTCTTGAGTGAGAGGGGCCAGGCTGAATTTGCTAAAATTCTAAGAGAACAGGAAGATTTCACAAGCAATCAAATCAAGTGAATACTAGATATCTCTATGCTAAAATTGTTCATGCCACATTACAATACTATTGAAAGAAAATTTTAGTTTTGTAAATAGAATAATAGAAAAGAATATGAAATTACCTATGATGATTTTGTTAACAAAATTTACGAAATGCATGAACAGGGATGTCTGTTAGTACATATAAGATTCTCATAGGTGTCACGGTTTCATGTTTACACGGGGTTGATATCCCAATTCATGTGCATTCTGGAGCACACATATAGCTTAGTGAATCCTGTTACCACCAAGTGCTAAGTGCAGAACACAAATCTCGACGTGCAATAGTAAACCTTTATATGTTGCATGATCGTATACAAATACTGGGAAAAACATCGAGACCCAAATTTAACAATTAAAGGTTTCCTTTAGAATTTTGAAAATTGGAGACATTGAATGCAATTATGCACCAGGATCGACAATTATATTTGCCACGCTGCTTTTTACCATTTTTGTACAAAGTGCTACCAAAATCCTATGCTGATCAAAGAGCAGGTCATGCAGCCAAAATACAGTTCACAGCATTATGAAGCGATGTAATATAACAAACGGAATCCAAGAATAAGTTGGCTTAGGTGCATACTTACCGTCAGCATCCAGGTGGCATTTTCAACCTCTCGTGGGTTAGACTTCACATATCGATGGTTGAAGGTGCAACCAGTGTGCATGTCCACTTTGTGATCATCCCTTAAATGTGTGACCAAGAAAGGAATGTCGCCTACAGTTGAGCATTCTGACCCTGCGTACGGGCAATTATATGGCCTGAAGTTGCACTGAGCTTCATGCTTGAGCTTACTATAGTATGGAAAGATTTCAGGGCACCCCAGTGAACAGTACTTGCAAGGGAGCTCAAGTGATTCTGCTACCTTTTCCAATGCTAAACACCGAATGTCTCCAAGTTCCTGTCTACAAGTAGGACAACGGTTGTGCACTCTAGTTTTACAAGTTGAACACAATGTGTGCCCATTGTGGCACTGCACAGAAAATAAATCAAATTAGAAAAGAGAAAAAGAAAACAGTCAGACACATTGAGATTGTTCTTCCATAATATCATGTGGTATTGTTTTTACATGATACTTTCATGCATTATAATGTTAATCCGCATAAGTTTGTTTTTGTCAGGAAGTAGAATCAATATGTAAGCATAGCAAGCAACAAAATTAACATCCACTTGAAAAAACAAGCATTGCTAACAATTCTGGAAATTAAAATATCATATATGCTCAGAATCTTACTATG